TCCATAATCTTCCTTATTTCAATCTTATGCTAAGAATCATTGTCTTCATTTTTGGTTTGAGGAAAAAGGATGGAAAATCAACAAAGTTCAAAAAGGGAAGTGCTTGCTAGCAAAATGATGTTCATTTCGGGATTCAATCATCAATGTAGTGTATTTATAATCCTTTGGAGTATTAAGTTTTCATTAATTTAGAGATTTTGCTAAGATTTGGTGATTTGAGCATTTTAGGGTTTATATTTGATTTTTCAAGCAAATCACGTTTTAGGTGTTAATAGTCCATTTTTATGATACCTTAAGACCCTAAACAACTTAATAAAGCTTCATAATAATTTTAGAAACCAAACCACGTCTTTTGGGATGGTTATTGAGTACTTTTATCCTAAATAAATTATTTCAAGGTTTGAGTATTGATACTAGGATGAACAATATCGATACTAGTTAAATTGGGGGATTGGGGATTTAGAATGGGAGTATCTATACTGCCAAGGAGAGGATCGATATTGCTATCGATACTGAGGCCCCCATTTTGTAACAGAATGCATGTTTTGTACCGATACTCATAGGGGTATCGATACTTGACCCTAGGGTATCGATATTGCAAGTATAGTACCAATGCTACTCACTTTGGATGGTTAGATTTGACCCGTTTAAGGCTTGTAAGAGCTAAGTATGACATGTCCTTTTCAATTTAAGAGATTCTAAAGAAAAGTATGATAGGATCAAATAGATTATCACTACTCAGAAATGAACCCGAGCCAGATATCGAGTTAGCCAGTTCCACAATTAATGAATAAGCCTTCGCATAACGTTCTAGATAAGAGAACGAGCGAGATAAAAACTAGTGAGAGGATAACTTCACCTTTTTGAGTCAACTATGTTAAGGTATGCCCATATTACTTTAGTTGCCCTAGTGGGGCGTTTTCAGTGCGCGAGGCACTTTAAGGGCTAACTAAGGTATGAGGTCAGAACACTCGCAAGGAGTGGGTTAGCATGTCAGTGTTATGTGGCCTGTGGCCTTAGATATGAATGGGTTGTTATGACAGTTCATTAAAGTCAGGTAAGCTTCCGATGCACGTAAAATTTTGGTTCTTACCTAATAATTCATAAAAAGACTATTTTAGGTCTTTTTACTTAAGTTATTGATTGTCTAAAAGCCATTGACATAGCATTTAAGTTGCACATAGTTGCATTTAGGAAATTACTGCATGTGGTGGACAAGTTTTTGTCGTGGCAAAGTTTATTTGATTAAACTGATGCTACTAATGAGAAGGGTTGTGCTTTGGTTGTGATGATGCAGGTGATAGGAAATGACAAATGAATAATTTATTTGTCGAGACAAATTATGTACCAGGGCCAAAGGAACTGAAGACGATGAACGTGAGTAATAATTTTTTCCGTGGCAAGTTTTATCTCGCAAGTCTGACGTAGTACGAGAAAAAATTGATGACATCGCGTGGCTAGTGTATAAGGCACCTCACGTGAACCCCTACCGCTGCTAAGGATTTGGGACCACTGCCAGCTACCATTTTATATAAAAAGAATATGAAAGAAAAGAATATGAAAATGAAATGAAAGTTTTGAAATATGTTCGAATGAAAAGAATATTGTTCATGATATTTGATGTTGATTTATATGATTTTTGATAAAATCTTGAGATGATGATTTCAGGTTTTCAAGAGGAAAAGAACTTGAATAGCTCGGTTTGAAAGTTTTAATATTTTTATTTAAATTACAATTTTATGTTATAATACTTTATGAAATTTATGTTATATATCACTTTAGCTATGTTACTGCCTCACTAAGCTTTACTTAGCAAGTGATTATTTTCATGCGTAGGTTTAGATAGAGAAAGGAAAGTGACGTGAAGAGCCTCTTGAGCATCTTTTCAGAAAATCATACCTAATATCAATATCAGTAAGACATCTTATCTTTGACTTGTTAGTAGCATGTATATTATATATGTACGTTGCTTTATCAGATTTGTTTTTAAATGGTCTGTAATGGTAAACTATGACCATTTTATTTTGGTTAGTCTAGTTATGTCTGTATTTTTGAACGAATAGTTTATATATAATTATGGGAGAACTGGTTTTCCTAATTAAGCATTGTTTAGGCATTTTTATAAAATTTATGAAACAACACTTAAATGCCTAATTGTTGCATAAAATTTTATTCATTTTTGAATGTTCAAATATTATTTTATGATTATATACAATTAATGAAATGTCTTTTAAAGTTGATAAAGAAATGTTTTAAAATGAAACAAATTTTAAGCGTTTATGATCAGTGAATGTCTGTAATGTTGATTTAACATCTTTAACTCGTATTCTGAGACGTATACGGGTTATAGGTGATCATAAAAGCTTGCCAACTTAAAATTTCAAGCTTGAATGCATTCTAAAATCTCACAATTGATAATGAAAAGGTTGTAAATGTGCTACCATGAATACTTGGTTTGCTAGGAAGGTCCTCAAATTACTCAAGAAACAACTTTCTCTTTTCCTTTGCTCTTGATCTTTACCCAACATCTTTCACTAATCAAAAGTAAGGAAAATGGATCATTAACTTAACTAGGTAGATAGACGAAGGATAAAGGCACTTCCTATCACTAGAATCCATTCTAAAGATTCTCTTAAACCTCCCAAAACCCCATTTTTGGAAGCTAAATGAAAAAACATGGAAAATGGGGCTTGAAAGGTAGTTCTTGGATTGAGGATTAATAATCTTACCTTATTTCAACCCAACTAAGCTTGAAACCTTTGAATTCTTCACTTGAAGAAGGGATGGGAAGAGAAGAAAGATGAGTGTTTGGTGAGTTTAAAGATGATTAGTAGTTCATTTGAAAATCATATTATAGGGAGGGGATTTTCATCTTTCAACTAACAAGGGGAAATTTGTTCTTTTAGACCATCAACTTTCTATTTCATAAAATACTCATCACCAAACATTAAAATTCTTGGGCCCAACCCAAGCCCACTAACACTAAACTTGATCCAACTATTTTCTAAGATCCTTCGGTTCAAACTTTGGGTCTCGAGTTGACTCAAACTACTAACCTGGAACTCGGGGCGTTACAATAATGTTCTAATAAATTTTAAAACCATTGCTAAATAAACATCCAACAAATATATATATTTAACAAATAATGGTCAACTAAATTGAAATATTAAATGTTTGGTAATATTCAGATTAATTTTAGGTAACTGTTTATTTCATTTTGACAATTGGATTGGCATAAATTTCAAGTCTCGAATTTTTTTCTTCTCGTTATCGTGTTGGTAGCACTTACATGTCTACTTGTCATTGTCACCTTCATATTGCAAACCAAACCCTAAATTCAAATAAAAAAATGTTTTGTCTTCTCTTTGGGATATGCTCATTGTTATTAATCAAGATCTTGTGTAATCTTTAACCATTTTAATCATAGATAGATCGAGAGAGTTGGTCGGATGATCGTTCTCTAAAAATTTAAATAATTTAATAATTTAAATATTTTTTATTGATAATATATTTTCGTCTCAGTAAAATTTTATAAGTTCATTCCTAATATAAAATCATAAGCACATCCTTAATTAGTTGTGATTGTTTATTTTAATAGGCTAGGTATCTCACTTTCAATTTATAATAAAATATATTGTATTTTATTATTAATTATTATCAGGGAGAAATATAGAAATTCATATTAGGGGGGTAAACTTATAAAATTTAAAGGAGAAAATTTATATAATTTATGAGGTGAAAACTAATTTTCAATAGAAAATACAAAAAAAATATCTATAATATACAAGTATTTAAAATTTTTAAGAGAACCTCTTTCAATCCACCACTGATTATTACCGTACCAACCATAATGATCCGATTTAATTAACTATGATTGTATATGTACAAATTAAGACTTGCATCAAGTTAAATAAATATATAATCTTTTTTTATTAAATTCAATCACAATCAAAATAACGAGCAAACCGAATTTTAACATATGTACATAATTATATTTTTTTAAATTATTATAATATATAAATACATTAATTGATAATAAAAAAATACTCAGACTTAAACTATAATATATATGAACAATAATCATTACCTCATCAATTAAGTAAATAAATGTATTGTTTAAATTGAAATTCAATTAAGCGCAATTTCTTTTATTAATATGCTTGAATTCGGAAATTTTAGTGAGGATAACATTATGTTTTATTATTAAGATCGCTTAATGACTTCAATTAAGCGTAATCTAATTATTCTTATTTATTGGAATTTTTATTTACTTTATTAAATTTAATTATCTAGAGGTAAGTGGATCCATTGAATTTTTGTTTGAAAACAACTGTTTACATAACCCCTATTTTTAATTGGTGAAGACTTTTCAAAGAATATATATATGAAAACTTATTTGGTACAGATATACTTTTCAGTTAGGCTTTCATAATTGATATATTTTGCCCAAAACTTTAAGAAGTCTTATCATTTTGTTAAGATTAAAATTTTTTTCACCCATCCTGAAATCGATTAGTTATTTATATTACAGACAATGGCCACCCTGGAATTTTATTTATATCTATCCCATTTAAAAAAAATTATATTATTAACATATGTGTACCCACCATAAAAATATTTCTGGATTCACCAATAAAGATATCAATACCTCTTATTTGATACCGGTATTTCACAATGTATTACTATCATTTTATACTTTGATATTTATAAGTATTAATATTTTTCCCCAAGTATCGATATCCTGCAGTAAAAATATGCATTTTGGATCTTTTGATGAACTTTTGGAGTCCATAATCAAACCTAATCATCTCGGGACTTGATACAACTTATATGAATATATTCTTTTCGACGAGTGCTCCATGAGATCGCTTCTATAACAAGTACTTGGGACTGTAAGTTTAGGCCAAAAATAAAGAAAATTGTGGAGCATTTATTTAGAAGAGACTTTTTATTACTGATAAATCCATGCATTTGTAAAATAATTGGAAAACACATACATGCTACATAAGGATTCATTTTTATTATGAAGCGGAGAGAAAGAAATAAAAACAAGTGGATCCATTGAACAATACATTGCCAAATACAAATTTGTCTACATTATTCACTTAAGACGTGGAGACCAGGCTAGGCTCCCCATTTTCATCTTACCACCCTCTATATATTTGTTCAAACCATATTTTGTTGCTTTATTTGAATCACTCTTCTCCTGCAAAATAAAATCCATTGTTTTCTTATTGAGATGTTTAAAGATCAAAACGTTCAAAACAATTTGAAATAATTCCTCTTGACGAGATGGAAAAAGAGATTTTAATGTATGTTACCTTAGAGTACGGTCAAAGTCGTAGCTTAGTAGTGGTGAGGAGGAGGTGGTGGTGAAAAGTAGACATAATGGGGTGGTGGTGGGGGTGGAGATTTGTATTTGTAGACCGGTGGGGGTGGCGGTGGTGACTTGTACTTGTATGGCTCATTGGGAGGAGGAGGAGACTTGTACTTGTAGACCGGTGGAGGTGGCGGTGGTGACTTGTACTTGTATGGCTCCTTGGGAGGGGGAGGAGGAGATTTGTACTTGTAGACATGAGGGGGTGGAGGAGACTTGTACTTGTATGGCTCCTTAGGAGGAGGGGGAGACTTGTAAACTGGAGGAGGTGGAGGCGGAGACTTATACTTGTATGGCTCCTTGGGAGGAGGTGGAGACTTGTATGATTCATTGGGAGGAGGTGGAGAATTATACTTGTATGATTCCTTGGGAGGAGGAGGTGGAGACTTGTATTTGTATGCCTCTTTGGGAGGAGGCGGTGGTGACTTGTAATGGTAGGGTGGTGGTGGGTACTTTTAGGAGGAGGTGGAGGAGAGGAATAAGTGTAATCAGCTGAGGTTTCAAAAGGAAAGCTTAGAGACACTGCTAAGACCAAGAGAGGAATAAAAAGAGAGGTCATTGAAGACCCCATTTTTCCCATGTTTACTACAAAGCTGGGTTTAATTTTGTTATGCTCTTAGCCACCCTCTTCACTTGATTTATATAGACTTTGTTTTACCTTGTAAACATAATGAAGTTAATTTAAAATTGTAAAAAGGTAAAAAAAATAAAAAAAATAAAAAAGGGAAGTTTCAACTGGTTCAGATTCATAGTTTATTTTATTGAGAGAATCTTTGAAGTTGGCAACTTGGGTTGAAGTTGGCAGCTTGAGTTGAAATTGGTAGCTAAGCAGGAATAAAGTATTAATGATGCAACTGATAAATTTAATTATTTTTTAATCAATTTAAAAGTATAATTTATTTTTAAGAATTATTTAGGTATTTATTTAATTTTTAAGATAAAATTAAGAAAATAAGAAATATTAAAATATTAAAAATTTCATATATTCAAAGAATATTAAAAAAATAAAATGTTTAAAAATTGAAAAAAAAATTATAAGATGATAAATTATAAATTACTAAAAACTTAATTTTAAAAAAATATATGAAGCAATAAAAAATTTGAACACTTCCATCAAAAATATCTTTGATTGTCTCTTATCAATCCGAGTCTACTATTACTCTTTAAATATATTTTCAGTAAAATTAAAATTACATTAATTTAATAAAGAAAACGATGCGTGGATATGTTAACTCAGCTGTCATTGATATGTGAATATAATATGTTAATTTTCATTAATGATTTAACAATTCAATTTATTCTAATGAATTCTTTTTATTTTTGATGACTAAGATAAATATGTCCTAAAAGTTTAATAATTATGTGTATAATTTATCCTAAAATTTAATGTAATATAAATATATGAATATTTCAAAATTTACATAAGTATTAAAATATCAATATTAATATAAATATAATATATTTATAATATATAAATTAACATGTTGAATTTATAATTATCAAAATCTAGAAACTTACAATAATTGTGTTATTATAAATTCACACATTCACACACACCATATCATCAACCTTATTGCTTGTACTTCAACTTTAGATTGAGGGGTGAACTCTGCTACTGCTAGCCACAAGTCCAACTAGCAAGTTTCGAGAACTCTCAACAATTAGTATAATTCACCACCTGTTTTATAACTGAAATATTTTTATTTTTGATATAATTATCAGCATTTGACTTATTCATTCATTAAACTTGCGGATGAGAATGAGTCGAGTTTTTTATAACTCGATCCAACCCGATAAAATACATCTTTCATTGAGACTAGATCTTACTCGAATTTAAGGTGAATTAATTGATCCAAAAATTGATTTGTAACACTCGAATGGGCCTAAAATACCAAATTGGGCTGCTGAGACAACCCCTAATTTTCAAAACCTGTTTCGTTTTCTTTTAAAATATGTTGAATGGCAACATAAATAAAACATAAATAATTATCATAAAAATATTTTATAAAACGGAGCTCCATGGAACATGATTTAAAACAACCAATACATCCTGAGGATTACAACTCAAATACATAAGTAAGATTCTATGAATACACTTGCCCACTAAAGTTATAATATAGTACTATGAAGGAGATGTTGGAAGTCTTGCTGCGACGATGCTCCGCAAACCCAAGCTACTCACTGCCAACAGAAAACATCAGAAGTTTGTGCTTACAAAACCCATCAGTATAATCGCTAATCTAGAGAAGCATTATGAGTTTCATAAACACAAGCATGCTAAAGATATAATGCTAAGCATTAGGTATATGCATGATCTAGATCAAGTGCTACCTACTTAAGGGTAAATTGTTCTATTGCTGAAGTAGGAGTCTCTTACTTTAATTTCCTTAATCCTCTGATAAGGGCTTTTCCATTAGTACACCTATAAAGGGTCTTTAACCCTAATAATTATAACTTCTACAAGTTATCTAAATATGACTCTAATACTCCTATGAATTATTTGAACGTAACATTGTCACATAGCATTGCTGCAATTCCCACTAAACTGTTGAATGATTCCCTGGTCCTCATATAGCCATCTGGTAGATCATGGAGGGGGAACCCAGTGTCACATAGCATCGGTACAATTCTCACTTAACTGAAGCATTGGCTCGGTCTCACATAGCCTTCAAGCCAAGCTTTAAGATATCCGATGCACTAGACTGATGCAATTATGCAAGTATGACTAAGGCCTGGAGGCCACACAACACTGACATCACTAGCCCACTCTTTGTGAGTGTTTAGGCCTCGCGCCCTAGTTAGCCTCTGAAGTGCCTCACGCACTGACAATGCCCCACTAAGGCAACTAAGATAACCTGGCTATACCCTAGCATACCTAGACTCACTAAAGTGTGGTCATCCTCTCACTAGTTGATAACTCGCTCGTTCACTTATCTAAAACGTTATGCGAATGCTTATTAGTATGTTATTGTTTCTTGTTATTAAGTTTCTCTTTTTGATCGTTCGTTACTTAAGGATGTTTTATCATCTTTTACCTCTAGCGAAGTCTCTATGTGTTTTGGGGTTTTACGATGATTTATGTGGTTGTTGTTCAATATTGTACTATTCGCTAGCCTGATGCCTAACTTGGTTCAACTATGAGTAGCGACACTCTAGTTGTTCTTATCGTGCTTCCCTTTAATACCCCTTGAATTGAAAAGACATCTTACACTTCCTAAGTTCACTGACATTCTCGAAGGCAACGCTTCACTATTATTGAATCTGACTTACTCATTGTATCGTTTGTCGATACATATCCTGCAATAATCCTCTTTCTCAACTATTCGTATGCGTGCTCAACTAAATATATTCGACATATTATGCTTAATATGGCTACATCTGTTGTAACCCACTCCTATGAGTGTTTCTAGGTATGTTTAGTCATTTATGTCCCCCATGGACTAAGTCTTACTATTACGGATATTCCTTAACTCTTACAAGCCTCAAATAGGTAAAATCTAACCATCCAAACTAAGTCATATTTATACTGTACTTGTAGTATCATAGTATGATACCTCTATGAATATCGATACTAAAATGCATTATGTTCCTGAAAAATAGGCCCAGTATCGATTCTGTCACCCTGAGTATGAATTAAAATAATTCCAATTTTGGCATGTTGATCGATAAATGATTTAAAAGTCCATTGCATGTTGCATTGAGAGTCGTAGGTACAATTGGCATGCCATTAGGTGGAGTGATACTGATTATGATATGGTACATTTGTGTACATTATGTATAGCACCATGGGTGCAGATGATATGATTGCACTTGGAGTGTACAGTCTGATTTTGATGAAAGCATTGAAGTGCTTATTGCGCACACTCGTCTAACTCACATACCTTGCATTCTCTTACATAACATTGGGCTATAGAAGTAAATGTGAAAGTTATGACAAGTATATGAAAGAAAATAACATGAAAATGAAATAAAAGTTCTAAAATATGTTCGAATAAAAAAAATATTGTTCATGATATTTGATGTTGATTTACATGATTTTTGATAAAATCGCAAGATGATGATTTTCAGGTTTTCAAGAGGAAAACAACTTGAATAGCTCGGTTTGAAATTTTTAATGTTTTTATTTAAATTACAGTTTTATGTTATAATACTTTATGAAATTTATTTTATATATCACTTTAGCTATGTTACTGCCTCACTAAGCTTTACTTAGCGAGTGATGATTTTCATGCGTAGGTTCAGATAGAGAAAGGAAAGTGAAGTGAGGAGCCTCTTGGCCTTTTCTCAGAAAATCATACCTAATATCAGGATCAGTAAGACATCTTATCTTTGACTTATTAGTAGCATGTATATTATATATGTACGTTGCTTTATCAGATTTGTTTTTAAATAGTCTGTAATAGTAAACTAGGACCATTTTATTTTGGTTAGTCTAGTTATGTATGTATTTATGAATGAATAGTTTATATATAATTATGGGAGAACTAGTTTTCCTAACTAAGCATTGTTTAGGCAGTTTTATGTAATTTATGAAACAACACTTAAATTCCTAATTACTACCTAAAATTTTATTCGTTTTGAACATTCAAATATTATTTTATGATTATATACAATTAATGAAATGGTTTTTAAAATTGATAAAGAAATGTTTTAAAATGAAACAAATTTTAAGTGTTTATGATCAGCGAATGTCTGTAATGTTGATGTAACATCTTTACCTCATATTTTGAGACGTATACGGGTTATGGGTGATCATACAAGCTTCCCAATTTTAAATTTCTAGCTTGAATGCATTCTAAAATCTCACAATTGGTATGAAAAGGTTGTAAATGTGTTACCTTGAATACCTGGTTTGCTAGGAAGGTCCTCAAATTACTCAAGGAACAACTTTCTCTTTTCCCTTTGCTCTTGAGCTTTGTCCAACTTCTTTCACTAATCAAAAGTAAGGAAAAGGGATCATTAACTTAACTAGGTAGATAGACTAAGGATAAGGACACTTCCTATTACTTGAATCCATCAAAACATTTAGAATCTAAAGAGTCTCTTAAACTTCCCAAAAAACCCATTTTTGGAAGCTAAATGAAAAACTTGGAAAATGGGGCTTGAAAGGTAGCTCTTGGATTGAGGACTAATTATCTTACCTTATTTCAACCCAACTAAGCTTCAAACCTTTGAATTCTTCACTTGAACAAGTAAGGAGAAGAGAAGAAAGATGAGGTAAAAGGCGAGTGTTTGGTGAGTTTAAAGATGATGAGTAGTTCACATGAAAATCATATTATAGGGAGGGGATTTTCAGCTTTCAACTAACAAGGGGAAATTTGCACTTTTAGACCCTCAACTTTTATTTCATAAAATACTCATCACCAACCATTAAAACTCTTGGGCCCAACCCAAGCCCACTAACACTAAACTCGATCCAACTATTTTCTAAGATCCTTCGGGTTCAAACTTTGGGTCTCGAGTTGACTCAAACTA